AAAAATGGCCCATGTGGTGGCTCATGTCTGTAATCCCAACATTTTGAGATGCTAAGGCAGGAAGATCATTTGAGGCCAGGAATTCAAGACCAGATTGGGCAATATAGCAAGACCTCATTTCTATTAAAAGATTTAAAAAAATAAACATACATTTGGATTCTGCCCTGGTTTTTGACACGCAGCTCCTAAAACTTTTGGAATCTCTGGAGTGGTAACAGTATCTTTTGTATGCTAATGAGACAACTGGTGGCTGGGGGTCCCCATACAGCTTCAGGATGGTGGCTGGATTAGAGGTCTGAGACTTTCAGCACCATCCCCAACCTCCAGAGAGGGGAGAGGGGCTGATGGGTGAGTCAGTCACCAACGGCCAATGATTTAATCAATCTTGGCCACTTAATGAAGTTTCCATAAAAACTAAAAAGGACAGAGTTGGGATGAACTTTTGATGTGGCAGTTCCTGGAGGGTGGTGTTCCAGGAGAGGGCATGAAAACTCCCTATTTGGTCCCACATACGCTGCCCTATGCAGCTTTTCCATCTGGCTGTTCGTCTATATCTTTTGCAATACCCTTTATAATAAGCAGGTAAACATAAATAAAGTGTTTCTCTGAGTTCTGCGAGATGCTCTAGCAGATTAATTGAACCTGATGAGAGTGTCATGGGAACCCTGATTTATAGCTGGTCAGTCAGAAACAGGCGCCACAAGCTGGGACTTGTGTTGGCATCCGAAGTACGGGGGTGGTCTTGTGGAACTGAGCCCTCAACCTGTAGGATCTGAGGCTACTGCCAGCTGGACAGTGTCAGAATTGAATGATAGGACATCCAGCTGGTGTCCGCTGCAGACTGACTGGGGAGAAATCCCCACAAATGTTTTGGTGATCAGAGTGAAGTGTTCTGTGTTAAGTATTGTGTTAACTGTGTCTAAAAGTGAGTATTGTGTTAACTTGTGTCTAAAAGTGGGAAACACACTTTGTTTTCCTTTCTCTAATAGCTATAAATATGGTAAATAACTGTAAACTAAAACCAAACCTGATTTGCTTCACTTACCTATAAGGCTAAAAATTCTGCGAACACATAAAGTTGAAAAATTCCATTTTGCCCTTAAATTGTCAGCAGCTTGACCAGACAGGATCATACATAACCAAGAGCCCAAATAAGGCAATGAAGATAAAAGCCCATTCTGGAAGGAATAAGAAGATACAGGAGGAAAAAACAAAACATACACATTCATCACAGCCAACAACCACCACTTGAAAACAAAGGAAATGCATAGCAATATGTTGTTAATTTTTTATATAATTAAAGTAAATAAGTCTGGCTTTCAGAAGGATTATCGGATTCAGTCCAAGGCAGTCCCTAAGTCTGTCTCAGAGGAAATAAGGCTTGCCCTAGTCCTGTCTGCTTCGGGTAATCTTGACTGTTTCTTTGGGATTTCGGCTGTGGGAGAAGACAAGCCTTCCTATTAACCTATGGATTCTCCCTACTAAACATTTTCGTCTTCCATTCTCACTTACTTATTTTAAAATATTTTTTTACTATAAAATAAAATGCAGATGCAGAAAACCATGTTAAGTGAAACATACAGCTTAAAGAATCATTCTTTTTTTTTTTTTGACAGTCTCGCTCTGTTGCCCAGGCTGGAGTGCAGTGGAGCGGTCTTGGCTCACTGCAACCTCTGCCTCCTGGGTTCTTGTGATTCTCTGGCCTCAGCCTCCTGAGTACTGAGGACTACAAGCACCTGCCACCATGCCAGGCTAATTTTTATATTTTTAGTAGAGACGGCATTTCACCATGTTTGGCCAGGCTGGCCTCGAACTCCTGACCTCAAGTGATCTGCCCACCTTCACCTCTGAAAGTGCTGGGATTATAGGTGTGAGCCACTGTGCCCAGCTGGATTTTTTTTTTTTTTTTTTTTTTTTTTTTTTGATACGGAGTTTTGTTCTTGTTACCCAGGCTGGAGTGCAACGGCACGATCTCGGCTCACGGCAACCTCCGCCTCCTGGGTTCAAGCAATTCTCCTGCCTCAGCCTCCTGAGTAGTTTGGACCACGGCGTGTGCCACCATGCCCAGCTAACTTTTGTTTTTTTTTTTTTTTTTTTTTTTTTGAGACGGAGTTTCACTCTTGTTACCCAGGTTGGAGTGCAATGGCACGATCTCGGCTCACCGCAACCTCCGCCTCCTGGGTTCAGGCAATTCTCCTGCCTCAGCCTCCTGAGTAGCTGGGATTACAGGCACGCACCACCATGCCCAGCTAATTTTTTGTATTTTTAGTAGAGACGGGGTTTCACCGTGTTGACCAGGATGGTCTCGATCTCTTGACCTCGTGATCCACCCGCCTCGGCCTCCCAAAGTGCTGGGATTACAGGCTTGAGCCACCGCGCCCGGCCAACTTTTGTATTTTTAATAGAGACAGGGTTTCACCATGTTGACCATGACCAGGATGGTCTTGATCTCTTGACCTCATGATCCACCTGCCTCAGCCTCCCAAAGTTCTGGGATTATAGGCGTGAGCACCGGATTTGCTATTCTTAATCTTCCTGTGGGTCTCAGTTTTACCCCAAATAATAATTACCAAATTAACCCTATAATGTGCAGTTGAATGCAATTAATCACTGTCGTAGTATATTATTTATTTTCTTTTTTAAAAATCAGCTCCACTTTATAGTTAAAATGTGGTAGATTATAATCAGGTTCTGTTAACAAAGAACCTGGGAAAAATAAGGCTGCTTACAATGAATCCATCCCTTTTAGAAGTGAATACTGGTACCATTTGAATTTGTCAACTGATATCCTGGTATGTTACTAGAGACTATTAAGATCTTCATTGCTAAAGGGAATAACTGGCAAAAGATACCTTAATCAAGAGTTAGCACACACTGAGAAAAGAAGTAACAATTGTGGAGGCCAAAACGAGACATCTCTAAAATTTAGGACAGCAGAGTAAAATGGAGGATGCAAAAATAACTGAATTTTATATAGATGAAAACAAATTCTGTGTATGGTCTTAAAATTATATATAAGAAAAATATATATATAAAAAAGAAAATTATAAGAAGCAGATGATTATTTTTTCTTACCTCTTGAACATTAAACCTTAGGATCTCCTTCATATAAGTAGGCAATAATGTCAATAAAGTATAAAAAGTCCAGTTGTATGAAAAGTGTGCAACTACAATAGCCCAGAGTGGCAGTGATTTTAAAATGGGTACCCACGGCACTGACTTCTGTGAAGAAAGCTGAAAAAAAACAGGAATAATTAGGATAAGCTACACCTATGTTAATGCTTAGAGCTGTACCATATCAGCTAAAACTCTATCCAGAATTCATACAGGATATTACCTTAATTAGTAAGCTCTAAATTTTTAAATCAACCCCTTTGAAATATTAAATAGAAAAATGCATGATAAAGTAAAAAGGTAATGGTAGAGCTATAATGTCAGCCCTAAACATTGCTTATGAATGTCAGAAGTTACCTGCAATATTGATTTCTCTTTTTTTTTTTTTTTTTTGAGACAGAGTTTCACTCTTGTTGCCCAGGCTGGAATGCAATGGTACAATCGTGGCTTACTGCAACCTCCGCCTCCTGGGTTCAAGTAATTCTCCTGCCTCAGCCTTCTAAGCAGCTGGGATTACAGGCATGTGCCACTACGCCTGGCTAATTTTTGTATTTTTAGTAGAGACGGGGTTTTGCCATGGTGGTCAGGCTGGTCTTGAACTCCTGACCTCCAATGATCTGCCCACCTCAGCCTCCCAAAGTGCTGGGATTACAGGTGTGAACCACTGCACCCAGCTTGATTTCTCGATTTCTAAAATACAGTTTCATAGTCAAATAATTCAGAGGCTGACATAAGGGTAAAGGAAAGAGATAGGAAGGTCCTGTTAGAATTCATATTTAATTATCCAATCTTTATTCAATTGAAATGATTTATAAGAACTAGGCAATAGAAGGTTTCTGTTGCAGTCATATGGAGCAGTGGTCTTTAAAGCAGGGTAAAAGCACCATGGGGGTATGCAAAATGATCTTCTGGGATGAGGAAGGACATATTTCTATTTTTACTTATTTTTATTCTAAAAATAAGAAACTACACTCTATTAATATTTAACAAATATATTGGCCCCGGAGTATGTCAGATGATTATAAATTGTATAAGTCCCCTAATTCAGAGGGGTTAAAATGGCATCTTCACTTGCTTTTTTTGCCCTCAGTGTATTATAGCATATTACAGTTTAAGTGCATTTATTTATTTATATTTATTTATTTTGTATTATTATTATTTTTTTTGAGACACAGTCTTGCTCTGTCATCCAGGCTGGAGTGCAGTGGCATGATCTTAGCTCACTGCAACCTCTGCCTCCCGAGTTCAAGCGGTATTCTCCTGCCTTAGCCTCCCGAGTAGCTGGGACTATGGGCATGCACCACCATGCCTGACTAATTTTTGTATTTTTATTAGAAACAGGGTTTCACTATGTTAGCTTAGGCTGGTCTCCAACTCCTGACCTCAGGTGATCCGCCCACCTTGGCCTCCCAAAGTATTGGGATTAGAGGCGTGAGCCACTGTACCTGGCCTATTTTTTTTTTTGAAACGGAGTCTTACTCTTTGCCCAGGCCTATGTTCTACTCTTGACCTATTGAATAAACAAAACAAAAACAAGTAAAGCAAAAAACTCTGAGTGTAGTGCCAAGGAACCTAAGTTTTAAACGGCTTCACTGGTAATTCTGTAGAGCAGTGGGTTCCCAAACTTTGATGCATATAAGAATCACCCAGCAGAGCCTTAAAAACACTGAGACCAAGGTCACACCCTAGACCAACTGAATAGGTTGTGGGTGGGTGGGAGGTATGCATCCCTAGTTTTTGAAGATCCCTGGGTGATTTCAATGTGCAGCAACTTTGGGACCCACTGCTGTAGAGATTAGATTTTAAAGTCTGCCCTCATCCCTCTTAGCTGAAAAGCTCAGGACAGAGAGAATTTTAGAGTTTGAAGGAATTTGGAACATAGCTCTTTTAATATGGCTTTGAAATCCACAAAAGAAGGGAAATCATTCTTTTATGCCAAAAGATACAAGTGTAAATGTATTTGAAGTCTGAAAACTGAATATATTCTGAAGAATATATCCTACCTCTTGGAAATATAACCTGTAATATGAAATATTTAATTTTAGCCACACTGGTATATTTTTACAACCTATTAATAGCAATTGAATTTTTGATAATCTGATGTTTTTGGACAATCACCCAACCAAGATCAGCTGTATGTCTAACACAGAAGCCCGACACATGGCAGGCTGCTAACAGCGGCTTATCAAACGCATACAAGGCCACAGGGTTAAAGGCTTAGAAAGAAGAATGTGAAATCTATGTATTACAGCTTAATGTTCATTTGTAACCTAGGTACAACATAACAGTTTTCTGTTTGCCCAGTATGAATGGTAATATCAGCTTACAGTATTTCCACATTACAAGTTTTATTTCGGGGGGAAAGTCTTCATTTATAAAAGCTTTCAAGTTAAAGATGAATTTTCAAATGTTACTAGGAGAAATGAGCCAAGTATCTAGCAGACATTAAAACAAAATCCTTCAAGAGTTTAAGATGGTGCTGTCCAACAAAACTTTCCATGATGATGGAAATGTTCCATATACACACTGTCCACAGGGTAACTAGTAGTTACATGTGGTTATTAAATCCTTGTCATTCTAACAGGTTGAGGAAAGAAAACAAAATGAAATGAAAGAAAACCCTGGTCATATGGCTAGTGTGACTGAAGAATTTTTTCTGAGTCTTGCTCTGTTGCCCAGGCTGGAGTGCAGTGGCCTGGTCTCGGCTCACTACAATCTCCGTCTCCCGGGTTCAAGCAATTCTCCTGCCTCAGCCTCCTGAATAGCTGGGATTACAGGTACCCACCATCATACCCAGCTAATTTTTGTATTTTTGTAGAGATGGGGTTTCACCATGTTAGCCAGGCTGGTCTTGAACTGCTGACCTCAGATGATCTGCCCTCCTTGGCCTCCCAAAATACTGAGATTACAGGTGTGAGCCACTGCACCTGGCCCAGAACTAAATTTTTAATTAAATTACTTAAAATTTAATTAAATTAGTTAAATTAAAAATACAGCCACATGGGGCTAGTGGCCACCATACTGGACAACACAAGTTAAGGTTGGACTTGAGAAGGTACAAAACAGCTTTTTTTTAATGTTCTGGATCTATAAATTATTCTCTTGCTATGGTTTCTAACACACTACTATCTCGATAATCAATCAGTGTAAACACATACTCTCTATGGCTTCATCACATCTCATTGTTGGCAAAAAATAAAAAATTATGAAAGCATTTTTTTTTTGACAGAGTCTCGCTCTGTCACGTATGCTGAAGTGCAGTGGCGTGATCTTGGCTCACTGCAGCCTCCACCTCCTGGGTTCAAGCAATTCTCCTACCTCAGCCTCCTGAGCAGCTGGGAGTTCAGGCAACTGCCACCATGCCAGCTAATATTTGTACATATATATATTTTTTAAAAGATGAGGTTTCACTATATTGGTCAGGCTGGTCTCCGACACCCGACCTCAGGTGATCCACCTGCCTCGGCCTCCCAAAGTGGCTGGGATTATAGGGATGAGCCACCGTGCCTGGCCAATATTTGTATTTTTTGTAGAGATGGGGTTTCCCCATGTTGGCCAGGCTGGTCTCAAAATTCTAACCTCAGGCAATCTGCCCGCTTCAGCCTCCCAAAGTGCTGGGGTTACAGGTGTGAGCCACCGTGCCTGGTGCTTTTTTTTTTTTTTTTGAGACAGGGTTTTGCTCTGTTGCCCAGGCTGCAGTGCAGTGGCACAACCACGGCTAACACAGCCTCAATGTCCAGGTCTCTAGTGATCCTCTAACCTCAGCCTCTGGAGTAGCTAAGACTACAGGCATGTACCACCATACCGGGTAATTAAAATTTTTTTTTTTTAGAAATGGGGTCTCCCTATGTTGCCCAGGCAGGTCTCTAAGTCCTGGGCTCAAGTGATCCTTCCACCTAGGCCTAGCAGTGTGCTGGGATTACAGTCAAAAGTTACTCCACCTGGTTCTGAAAGTTCTTATTAGAGCTCTACATTCTTCTAAAATACCACTGCTGATAAAGGAAAATATGTATGTGTGGCTGGGTGTGGTGGCTCACACCTGTAATCCCAGCACTTTGGGAGGCCAAGGCAGGAGGATCACTTGAGGCCAGGAGTTGGAGGCCAGCTTGGCCAACACAGTGAAACCCTGGCTCTACTAAAGATACAAAAAATTAGCCGGGAATGGCGGTGTGTACATGTGATCCCAGTTACTGGGGAGGCTGAGGCACAAGAATCTCTTGAGCCCAGGAAGTAGAGGTTGCAGTGAGCTGAGATAGTGCTCTCCAGCCTGGGGAACGGAATGAGAATCTGTCCTCCCCATCCCCTTCTCAACTTCCCAAATACATACAGGCAAGGAATTTTAAAATTTCTCAGATCATTTGCTCAGCCAACATTTTGAAAGCAAATATACTTTGGAGATTTAAATGATAATGTTTGTGAAGGAAAAATTAGTAAGATCCTGAATCTTGTATCCAAAATGTATTGTCAAATTTCTAATAATAGCTCAATCAACTTTTTTTTTCCATATTAGTTGAAACAGAAAAGGACAAACTAAACATTATTTGTCATGAAATGTGTGAAATATAGAGAGGGTATGATCACTCAACAAATACTTGAATATCTGCTAATATGCCATTTTACAAAAAAAATTTCTTATCAAATGTAAGTAACAGCAAATCGATTTAGCAAAGTTACATGTAATAAATGCTCTTAATTTCTGTTTTAATTAGACAACTAAATATTCAAATCAAGGTCCCCATTTGATTTGCTTTGCAATGCTGCAAAATTGTATACTCTTCCTAAAAGGCATAAAGGAGAAGCAAAACAGTTAAAGAACATGCTATCTTCAGGCTGGACATGGTGGCTCATTCCTGTAATGCCAGCACTTCGGGAGGCTGAGGCGGGCGGATCACTTGAGCTCACAAGTTCAAGACCAGCCTGGGCAACATGGCAAAACCCTGTCTCCACGAAAAATATAAAAATTAGCCAGGCTTTGTGGCACACATCTGTGGGGTCCCAGCTACTTGGTGGGCTGAGGTGAGAGGATGGCTAGAGCCTGGGAGGTGGAGGGAGGCTGCAGTGAGCCGAGATCATGCTACTGTACTCCAGCCTAGGCAACAGAGCCAGACCTTTTCTCACAAACAAACCTCCCAAAACCCTGGAACCAAACAAACAAGAAAACCCCTCGATATCCCCAGAATTAAGGAAAGAACAACAACAACAACAACAACAACAAATAGCAGATATACAGGAAAGGACATTTCAGTGGGTGAAGCAGTGATGTCTTTCCATAATGCATTAAAAAGAGATCTTCAAAATAGAGTAATTGACTGTTTTAAAGCACTCACTAGTTGTGAGCTGGCCTTCTGAATTTAACTGCAGGGTGCAATGAAGATTTTTGTTTCTCTCTCTCTCTTTTTTTTTTTTTTTTTTGACAGAGTTTTGCTGTTACACAGGCTGGAGTGCAATGGCGCGGAATATCAGCTCACTGCAACCTTCGCCTCTCGGGTTCGAGCGATTCTCCTGCCTCAGCCTCCTGAGTAGCTTGTTTTACAGGTGCCTGTCACCATGCCTGGCTAATTTTTATATTTTTAGTAGAGACAAGGTTTCACCAAGTTGGCCAGACTGCTCTTGAACTCCTGACCTCAGGTGATCTGCCTGCCTCGGCCTCCAGAAGTGCTGGGATTACAGGCATGAGCTGCTATGCCCGGCCTTCTCTCTCTCTCCTTTTTTTTTTTTTGAGATGGAGTCTTGCTCTGTTACTCAGGATGGAGTGCAGTATCATGTTATTGGCTCATCACAGCCTCTGCCCCTTGGGTTCAAGCGATTATCTTGCCTCAGCCTCCTCAGTAGCTGGGACTACAGGCATGCACAACACACCTAGCTAATTTTTGTATTTTTAGTAGAGAAGGGGTTTCATCATGTTGGCCAAGCTGGTCTCAAGCTCCTGACCTCAGGCGATCCTCCTGCCTTTGCCTCCCAAAGTGCTGGGATTATAGGTATGGGCCACCGGACCCAGCCTATTTCTTTTTTTGTAGAAATTTCAGAATCAGAATTAGAACTATATACGCTGTCATACTTGTAAAATCCACTTATTGTAAGAATGAAATCACATTTCTGCCTATTAGTACTGACTTTTTCTTAAATAACTGAGAAAACATTCTAACGGCAACCCTTGCTTGTCCAGCTCAGATCTCCTTTGACATTACTGCCAGCATAAGCTATCTACGATGCAAACCTGATTCTGTCACTTCAAGCTTACAAATACTACATGGCATCCCAGTGCCTAATGGATAAAGGCTAAGCTCCTTAGTGAGGCACAGGGGACCCTCCATGACCTGACTTCCACCTGCTTCCTCTTCCTGTTATTTTTTGCTTTTGCCTTCCATGAGAACAACACCCAACTGCCGCACTTCCTGGAAGGTGTCACTCTCTCTCTGGAAGATACCATTCTTTCTCTCAGCAAAGTGAGAAAGAAAAACAGCAGTCAGCCTTGGCGTGGGGGCTTGAGCCTGTAATCCCCGCACTTTGAAAGGCTGAGCCAGGTGGATCACCTGAGGTCAGGAGTTTGACACCAGCCTGGCCAATATGGTAAAACCCCATCTCTATTAAAAATACAAAATTAGTTGTGTTTGGTGGCATGTGCCTGTGATCCTAGCTAATAGGGAGGCTGAGTCAGGAGAATCACTTGAATCTGGGAGGCAGAGATTGCAGTGAGCTGAGATTGCACCATTGCACTCCAGCCCGGGCAAAAAGAGCAAAACACTATCAGAAAAAAAAAAAAAAAAAAAAAAAAAAAAAAAAAAAAAAAAAAAAGAAAAGAAAAAGAAAGCAGCAGTCCCGGGCTGCTGTAAGCTAAATTGTCCTGGTTCTAACATCTAGGCCCTGGGGTTCTCCTGTTGAACCAAAACCAGGCCACTCTATGAGCATGCTGGAGCAAGACAAAAATAAGACCACTTTACAGGTTCTCGCTCTGTTTCCCAAGCTCATGCAATCCATAGTCTTGCCTCCCAAGCTCATGCAATCTTCCTGCCTCAGCCTCCTGAGTAGCTAAGACTACAGGTGCATAATCTCATGCCTGGCTGATTTTAAAATTTTTTATAGAGATGAGAGGTCTCATCATGTTGCCCAGGCTGGTCTCAATTCCTGGGCTCAAGCAGTCCTCCCATCTTTGCCTCTCAAAGTGTTAGGATTACAGGTGCAAGCCACTGTGCCTGACCAAGGGAAAGGTT